ACAAAATAACTAATTCCCTATCTGTTGAAGGTCTACTCCATGATGTGCGCATGGGTCTGCAGGAAGCCATTTAAAACGGTTTGTGGAAATCCAGGAGGTGGGCTCATAACTCCTGCTGGTATAATGTATTATACAGTAGGCATCTAACAGTCCAAAAATTGTCTGTTGCTTTATTTATTGCTTTTCCTTAAACACTCTCTTTTTTGTTCATGTGTCGCATTTACATGTCCAGAGCACCATCATATTAGGATCCACAGCAGCTCTGACAAGAAACAAAATTCATGACAAAATGCCAAGCCAAGAGTTGAGCAAACACCGCACTGCCACCTGGTGTAAAAGCCATGTCTTCTGCTGGCACCTTCAAGCAACTGAATTCCTTTGGGGTTGAATGGGAGGAGAAATGCAGGGACTTGACACAAGATCCTCATGAGAAATTTTTGACATTGTTTGCCTAGAGGACTTTCAATGATGAGATAAGGACCCATTGATGCCAGAGGAAACTAAGATGACATTTATTTAGGGCTCAGATTAGATGCTATTTCCTTGGATCAAGAGTCACTTTTTTTCTGGATTTAACCTCCCGTTCATGTTGTTGAAGCAGATTCCTTGGGAAGGTTAAAAAAAAGGTTAGATGACAGTATCAAAATAAATAAGATAATAGCCCAAGATCCCTTCTGTCATTTGTAATCTTTCTTATGTTCTTACAGTATGTATGTGGTAGTTTGGCTTTGTGGCAGAAGTGTCTTAACAAGGCTGATATTTATACAGGCATGGAATTGCTAGGTGGAAACAGGATCACGTTTGAAGGTGCAGATTATAAAATATTAGGAATGTGAGCTGTGCATGCATTTCAAATGCACTTCTGAAAGCAGGCATTGTAGAGCATCATCCCCATAGTGCAATTCACAACAGATCCTTAACTTTAATTGTGTTTAACTAAAATGTTTTGATGCCCATCTTCAAGCTCTGTGAAGGAGCTTGTCAGATATGATAGTACAGTAGTTTCTAAAGTGTTCTTATCTCTGTATCAGGGTGTCTTCCACTTAATGTAAACATAAGTGCTTCTCTGCTGTATGCTTTGAACATCTTTTGGCCATCCGATTAGATTTCAAGCAAAGACCTGATGTTGTGAACTTTTTATTTCAGTTTGATGTACTTAATACAATGAATGCAAGAGAAGATGCCCCACCTACCACATACTGTACAAACGCCCTAGCACAATGCAGCACCTCCTGTTCATAAAAAGAGAACCATGATGGTATTCTATGAGTTTTAAAACATTTAGTTCTAAACTCCCATTAAGCCTAAATTAGTTCAGTTCACAAAATAATTAGATCAAACAAATGATTCAGAGTTTAGATTAAATGAAAATTAAAAGATAGTGTGAACTTGTCGCTTTTGGGAAAAAGTTCTCCTTAGTTTTACTCAAGTGCCTATTCATCAAAGTCAACACCAACTCATGGGAAAAGGGATCACTGCTATTCCTTAAGGTGTTTCACGCACACGGACTCTAGCACTTCAAGGAAGTCATTTGAAGAAAAATGATGTATCGATTTTTCCTCTGCATCTGTGTTTGATCAACTGGCATCACTTACAGTATATCACATCAAACACTTGATGCCGCTAGTTTTTTTCCAGAAATGACTCCTTAAGTGTCCAGTTCATTTGCTCCTTGACCAGCTGAAAAAATCAAAGATAAAGAGAAGACAAGCAGCCCCACTGGAGTGTAGCTCACAACTGAAGAAGGCTCCATGGCCAAAACGTTGTGTTTTCTTTCTTCTCTTTTCAGCATGCAATAAACCTATTACTTGTTCCTCCACTGGAGTGAAGTCTAATATCAACTTATCATTTTGAAGTGTTCTTCAAATTTCTGGGGCACAATTGGTGTACAACTTTGCATTTTATTGAAAAGTAAAAATAATACACACATCAGAAAGCTAAGATTAATGTACTGTATGTGGGCACCCCATTACGTGTCCTTCCATCATTTCCTATCTTGTGATAACGACGTTCCAAGAGAGTTGTTATGGAGTACTCTGTAAAGAGTATCTGAATCTGAGGAAATGTGTCAGGAAATGAAAATATTGGAGGGTTATCAACCTTTTTTTTGCCATGGAAACTGGGAAAGAGGCTGGATTTTCCTTTCCTACATTGTGGGAAAAACCAAAAGAAAGATGATGCCTGATGTTCTGCAGAGCAGGAAAAGACAACTTGGAGAAGTATTTCATGAAAATATTTAAATATTTTGATTTGAAGAATCAGCTCTTTAGAGATAATGTGCCTGTTCTGCCTGTTGAGTGGGGCATTTAGTAGCATAATCTCAGGACATCTCCCCAAGAAGAAGACAAGCAAAAATAAGTAAAGAATCAAATGCATTAAATACATACATACATACATAAATAATACACATTTAGTTCTGTCGTCCAGTAAATTATGTAATTAATAGATGCAATATTTTTTTTACCTTTGGAGTTTTCAGAGTTTCTTAGTGCATTTGAGGTTCAGACCAAGGCAAGGCTTGTTAGGCCAGCCTCCTAGTCTCCATGTTGGCTGTGATAATGTGATGGTGAAGAAGGGTGCTGCCAGCCCTAGTGTGTGTGAAGGGTAATTGAATCTTATCATTAAGCCGAATTAGTGACACTGACTTGCTCCGGGGCTGAGGAAGCCCGAAGGACACTGGAAGGATAATAGGCTCTGGCTCATGTTGTTATGTTCTTACTTAATATTCACAAACCAGAGACAGAGGACATAATCTTCCGTGGTTGTTACCTGTTTACCTGCGTTTCAGTCATCAGTCATCGTCTTTGAACAAGATACCTTACTATTCTAATACGGTATAGTTCTTAATTTGATATTGCGTAAAAGACCCCCTTTTCTCTTTGTAAAACATCTCATTTGAAAAACCAGGGGCCAGTTGATCATTCACACCAGCATTAACCCCTATAGTACAGATGTCTGTGGTCTGACCATGTCACAGGCTGACTTTCACCAGGATTCCCAAAGTCGGTTATGCACAAGGACACATGTATAACCAGTATCTCGTGAGTCAGTCTGAAATTTCTTGGACTCTTGGGATCTACTGGACCAAAAAACCCTCCATGCTTCTTGTAAGAGAGAGAGACCATCCCTCCTCTCACTGCAGAGTCACTGCGGGTCACTGTACAGGCCTCCAGGCTCCCTTCGCAGGACCCAGGCGGCCCAGTCTGAGACACAGCAGGTGATGCTGAAAGATCCAAACAAGCAATGAAGTTTTTGCAGCAGCTCCGTGGGTCACCCATGTTCCCCATCCTCTGCCTTTCCTGCTCTTCCTTCAGGCAGGCGAGTTATGCCAAGCAAATTCCCAATACTCCATATTAGAGTATTTTCAAGAAATTACAAGAGTAATTCCCAGAATGTTTAGTAAAACCACTTGCCGTAATCATTATAAAACTGGTAAATTGTTAAAACTGAATGGGGAATCTGATTTTCTCACCGTGTTCCTCAGCCTCACTGAAACAGCACATTCATGCTAGAGGAAAGACAACAGAAACCTCACTGTACGGGCTTATTTCTTATCTTTAACTCAAGAAAGTACTTCAGCTCAAATCACATTTAAATTTTACTATAAGCTAGAACAATGTGTGTCATGGTCCTGAAACAGCTGCTGTCACGTTAAGTTCCTGCTCATTTTATTTTTACTGTGTTTTGTCTACTGAAGACAAAGAAAATGCATTGTAGTTGTTAAGGCATCACAGAAATCTTTGTATTTATTTGCAACATCAGAAAATGGTTTCATCTTTTATGAAAAGATACTATGAGGCTTAATGTGGCAGAAAAGGTATAATATGAGAGATACAAGAGACACATTTTAAAGAGGTGTGTGTTTTGCACAAAACACCAAGAACATTAGTATTGTTGTCATCTTCTTTTGGGGAGGAATTTGAATGTATTCAGATTAGGTAAAGATTAGGTGATGTTAAGTCTGCTAGAGCCTCTCATGCATGAGTGACAACCAGACAGGCTGGGGATCCTTTCCCACTGCAGGAGCAGCCAATCCCCACAGCACAGCCTCCCAGAGACAGGTCATGCATCGCAAAAAAAAAAAAAATCACCCCATGGGGGTAATTAAATATAATAAAACATAATGGAAAGTATTGATTTTCTGTCAACACGACCTGACAAGATCTAAGAAGGGCAGTGTCAGGGTATTAAGTGATCTAAGCATTCAATAAATATTGATAATAAGGGCTGTTTGTCAGGATGCAGGGGTTTTGTTTCACCCTCTGTGAGTGCTGGTGCTCTTGGTGGCAGATGCTGAGGGCTGCTTCTGCACTCTGCTGGCTTCTTGATGTTCGCTCTGCCAGCCTGTGTTCAGAACCAGTCGGGTGCAGGGACTCACCCTCTTGTTCATTAGTCTGGAGATGGTGTTGCTCCATCTCTGGTGGAGCTTTGATGCATTCTGTATTTCCAGTCCAATTCAAAAACAGGGCTACAGTATACTGTATGCCATGTGCGTCTTACAGAAACAAATCACTGAATTATTAAACAAAAAAGTTACAGCAAAATAGTATTTAAGCTCTTGTGTTTTGTGTTTCCTGCGACTGAAACAATGACCATTAATTACTGGCTCCATGTGTAAGTGACACTTCCACAAAATTTCAGTTGAGGCTCCACAGCTGAAACATTGTGTTTCTTTTCTTCTCTTTTCAGCATGGAATAAACCTTTACTTGTTCTTTTGCAGCCTACGCATGTTGACGCAGCTCCCTATCTGAACTATTTCCACAGTAATGCTTTCTAAAGTAGTGTGAGCATTAGATTCACTATCTGTTTCCCATTCATCCCTCTTTGGAGTGGATTTTCTATCTTTGAAGACTTTAAATCTTGATCAGATCTTTGGTTTTAAAATGACTGTGTTCCTGATACTGGTTGTACTGGTTGTAATTTCCTGCTGACTTACTGTATTTACTTCATTTACTGGCCAGAACAAAAACAATCCAGCATCTCTTTTTTTTCTTTACAGAAACCTGTCCAAGAACCCACTGGTGACTCTCACATGGCAGCTTTTCCAGAACCTTCAACTCTCTGAACTGTAAGTTCACAAACACAAACACCATCCCCATTTCATCTCTCAGACAAAACTCTTCATGTTCTCACAGAATAACACAGAAGGAGCCCTTCCATTCACACGGGCATTTCCTTTAGTGTGAAATTGTGTTGAATTAAAGTAAAAATATTGAAGGTGTAAATATCACCTTGTCCGAAATTGACATTATTGAACCTTGAGAGGTTCTTACTGAGTTATGTTGAAGACTGCTGTTGAAGAAAACTGCTGTCTTTCATGCCCTGCTGGGATACCCCTGGTCTAGCATTAAACCACTCCAAAAGCCTACCAATAGACAAGTGCAGACCAGGAGAAACTTGATGTTTTTTGGAGTATTTAGAGCACCAACAGTAAGAAGGTGCTTCAACAGTGCCCATTCATCAATTTCCCTACAGGATTAATAAAGTATTATCTATCTATCTATTCTAAAATTTTAATACAATCCAAGTAGCACAGGGTGCCCAGCGTCATTGCAGAACGTATGATTGCAGTTAGCTTTTTGTCATCATTCACCAGTTGATAAATAGCCTAGACAAACTGAAATTAAATTAAGTCTCTATAATGACCCTGCACATGGTATATGCTGTGATTCGCGAGAAATATAAAATAGTAGCTGTGCGAGGAGAAAGAGGACTGATATAAGAGACCCAACCAGATGTTTAACTGTGCTAATACATTGCTGAACATGGCCGCAGGTGTGTGTCAATTCAGACAGCCCGCCGCAGGTGTGTGTCAATTCGGATAGCCTCAAGGATTTGCAGGGGGTTGATACAAAATCTGCTAAAATGAATGAAATTTTGGACAAGAGAGGCTAATCAACCAAAGGGAAAGACAGTAGATGTCATATCTTGTGCAAAGGTCACTAAGTATCTCTGTGGAGATCTGTGAACATCTTTATTATATGACATCATAATACAAATCATAGCATGTGAATTTGATAAAAGCACATAAAACAGTGGATTAGTGGCAGTGGATTTTGAGTGCCTTGACTGTCTTTGAGTATATAATGAAAATGTTTAATTCTGTGGTGAGATTTGTGGTGAGATGACCTTGAGATCTCAAAATTAATTTAAAATGATTTTGTTTTTTATTTAAAAGGATGGATGACTCAAGGAAGAAAGAGGGAATTCTAGTCTCCTTAACTTGCATACCTTTAATGATGCTTCTCATCTACAGTAGCTGTTCCTGGAGAGAAAAGTTATATTAGTGGCAAAATCTGCATTTGTAAAGGACTGTCACCATGTGGAAGGTGCTACAATAATGGCGTGTGTATTTTTAAATTCCGAGCTCTGTAATGGGATATTTTAAGACACTGAAGCAGGGCAGCTCCGCAGAGAGGATCCAAAGAGTTCTTTCCCATATCAGGAGAGGTAGAAGAAATGAGGACTTTGGATTGGCTGGAAAGAAGATGTATCCCACACCTTACATTTAATCTCCCTCCTGTTCTTTGTATATAGTGGTTTATGATGAAAATGATTATTCATTTGACTGAAACTTTTTTTGTTTGTTAGTTACCTAATATTTTTCTTTTTTTCTTGACCCACAGTAATATGTCAGGTTTGCTGGTGAATAAGCTTGTGAAAAATTAGAATAATGTTAAGGATCACTCAGATGTTTTACTGCAGTGACTGCAGTGAGAACTGGCTTCTAATGTTGTTCGTGCTGTTCATTAGTTTTAGCCTGAGGTCAGGATAAACAGTGTATATCGATCAATCCATCTAATCTACGCTGTACTAACACTCAATGTCTGAAAAGCTGTCATTTTTAGAAAAGTTTTAGAAAATGTATGTATTTAAAGTAAATTTCATAGATGCCACTTGAAATTAAAGCTAATTGAACAAGAGGTAAGTTAATTAAAGGGGCAATAACAGCAGACACTGGCTTGAGTTCATGCCTTGAAGTTAGTGGTATTATATGGGTGGACAAATGCACAAAATGCACACATACAGTATGCCACAAAAATATTTTTAAGTACCAGTATATGGGCTTAAGCTATCATACTGTCGATACCTTGAGAAGCTACAGGTTTCATCACTAATGGACCAGCACCAATGGACCATTCTGCAAATTTCTGTAAAATCTATATTTTGCTAAATGTTGCGAGTGCACATTAGCACAAAATGCAGAATAAGGTATTTTAGAACAGTGAACAAAAACTACATTGTAAAGTAATATATTTCACAGAAACCAAATATTCAAATATCTCTATTGGATTTTTTTTCCACCTCAGTACATGTCTTCCTCATAAACATCTTCCCCTTGCTGAGTATATAGGATCCCAGTTTATGGATCCACAAATATGAAGCTGCTTTCTTTCCAGATCTGTATTTTTTTTTTTTGGGACAGCCCACAGATTAATATTGCTCATTGAACGAGATTTAAAAGGAAAGCCTATTGTATACCAATTAAAAACTGTAAAGTGAAAAATGTTGCAATAATTTATTTGCAGTGCAAGAAATATTGCAGTTATTTCAGTAATTGTATCAAAAAAAGAGATAGCAGCAAGAAACAGTGAGCCAAGGGAATAGGTAGTGTAAAGGCTGGTATTTAAATAGGATGCCCCTTTGAGTCCTTGCTAGAGCATTAGATTTATTTCACAAGGTATCTTCCATTCTTATCAGTTGCCTTCAGGCTCTCAGTGGGCATTTCTGGAATACTGAAGTGCTGGCTGGTAGAGTCAGCTACGTGCTGCATTTTACTAAAGCAAGGCTTTCCCTAGGTAAAACGTTTGGCTGAAAAAAAAGTTTAGTGTATTTTTAAAGAATGAGTTAATCAAAGTAAATCAAAAGGTGTTTTGACTGAGTTTTCAAACTTCTTGCTGCTGTTAAATGGGTAGCTTTAAACACTCCTCTGTAAAACATAATAGTGGGAGCCTAAAAAACAAATTCCATCAAATTCCAGCTTTCCATAATGTTCAGATTATGGCAAATCTGTTAGAATGTGGAGGTGGAAGGTTCTAGCTCTTATAACTGAATTGAGATTTATAGTAAATTTGGTTCAATTATCTATTGATTGTCCTTAAAATAAAGTCTTTAAAGTAATGCCTATCCCCCATTTTCAGAAAAGTAGATGAAAATATGGAAATCCCCAAATTTGAAACTCGTGAATATTCCCAGTTATACCAAATGCTGATAACGAATACATTTTATATGTTATACCTGCTTTTAATTGCTTATGCAAATACAGTAAGTGGGAGCTTATTATGCAAGGATTGTGTACCGATGATGATGTGAAGAAAGCTATTTCTCTTTCATTTACAGCAGTTGTTCTGAGATGGAAAAGTTAAGCGAGGTGTAGCAATTTACATTTACTCATCCTCTGTGAGCCACTTGGTGCATCACCCACAACTGTGCACAGTGGTGTTAAACTGTAACACAGAATCTACAATACCAGGGTCCATCCATAATGTGCAATGTAGCATTTTGATTCAGTGATAGATAATGAATCACATCAGCACTCCACACAATCCTATAAAAATAAGGCAACAGTTTATTATATGTCAGGCAATTGGAATAACTACTGAGGTACGAGCATTTCTGACAATGTTATTATTCATTGCATTATTCATCGTCTCTTCATGAAGGCTAGAAATTCTGCGAGGTGAAGTCAATCACTCCAAATCCAGCACATTTACCAGCCAGCTATTGCTTTTAATCTGTAATTATTGCAAAGGAAGTTCTATTCACAGTCAGTAATGACGTGCACCCAGCAGAACTTATTATAGACAAAACAAATATGGTAATAAAATTGGAACAACCTGGGTGGAAAGAAAAATACTTTTACAAATAAAACAAGGACCCTTTGGAGCACAGCCCATCAGATTTTAAAATAACTGCATGGGTCTCATTCTTTGTGCTCTGAATGAATATTATTTAAGCTTAGACCACAGGAAACACAGAGAAAAAACATTACAGGAAACAAATGAATTTTACTACTTCTCTGAAAATGGATTTCTTTTCTGCAATTTGGAAGACACCAAATACTGTAGATCTGTTTTTGTGTATGCTACAGCATCTTAGACATACTTTAGGTGATTAACCCCGAAAGCCCTGGCTGTGTGTGGTCACAGCACGCCCACTGGGTAAAATATATATTTTATATGGTTGTTATAAAGAAATAAGCTTTTTGTTTTAAAACAGTGAATGGAGAAAAGGTATCCATTTCAATGACATTTCTAAAGATGCACATTAAATATACTGCATGCTTATATTCTTTGCCTTTTTATAAAATATATTAAAATTAATTCACAAAATTGTATCCATATGCTGTATTTAAATACAGATACAGATTTGTGTATAAAATATTGGTACTGTTTCCTAGAGCAGTTTCTTTCATCCATGAGGAGAGGGGACAGTGGAGTAATGGCAGGTGTGCAGGGAGGTGGGAACAGTTCTCTTCATATAATAATAATAATAAATTACTTACACCTATTTAGCACTGGACACTCCACTCAAAATACTTTACAGATAATGGGGATCCCCTCCACCACCCTCAGTGTGCAGCCCCACCTGGATGATGCGACAGCAGCCATAGTGCACCAGTACACTCTCCACACACCAGCTCCCAGTGGGGAGAAGAGCAGTGATGAAGCCAATTCAGAGATGGGGGTTATTAGGAGGCCACGATTGATAAAGGCCAATGGGAAGTTTGCCCAGGACTCCGGGGTTACACCCCTACGCTTCTCAAGAAATGCCTTGGGATTCTTAATGACCACAGAGAGTCAGGATCTCGATTTTACATCTATGAAGGACGGCGCCCGTTTACAGTGTAGTGTCCCCGTCACTGTACTGGGGCATGAGAACCCATGCAGACTGCAGAACTCCTGTTCCAGCAGCAACTGTTGATTTTTTCAGGAGCCTCCCATCCAGGTACTGACCAGGCTCTCACCTGCTGAGCTTCAGTGGGCTGCCAGTTGTGTGTTGCAGGGTGATATGGCTGCAGGCCATATACTGTGCAGTATATTGTAAAAACACAAGAACAGTGACAAA